GCGCGCCTCCATCAGGGGTTGACCATTTTGGACGAAAGAGGACTACCACGGTCGTTGAAGTCGATGGGGTATTTCATCAAGTGGGTTCAAGGCGATGTGTTGAAAGAGGAGGCTGACACGATTGCTGCGAACGCCTTAAACGCGAGAACGTTGATTGCCCCCATCGCTGCCAATGCGAGGGGCTGGTTTAAGCAAGCTGTCGCAGCCTATACATAGCCCAGAATAAACAACCTCAAGAAGCTACTGTACAACTGTACAGTGATTTGGTTCTGTACAGTGAATTGCACTGTCTTTTTGCTCTTAAAAAAGATATAAAAAGTATGCGCCGTCCGGGAATCGAACCCGGGGCATCCGCGTGGGAGGCGGATATTTTACCACTAAACCAACGGCGCTCTATATGCATATATTTCTGCCGTGATATAATAGAAGGGTCGATTATTCGACCCTAACCTTTGGTGTGAAATTTGAGCTGCAATAATAATGTGGTGTGCAATTCAGACCATGGTGAGCCAAGCAGTATACCGTTCGGCCAATCACAGCGGACGTGAACGGAATTGTGGGTTTCTCGCGTGTCGATAAATCCTTCCTCCGAGTTCCATTGACGACCATGGCTGGTCAAGCTATGGCGACGCCACGGCGCCCTCCTGCTACATCGCGTTCTTCGAAACTTCCCAAGGCACTAGTGATCCCCGGCTTCCACCGCAGTGTAACGCAGGACGCAGACGAGTTGATGCAGCTTGGGGTCGACACCATCGACAAGTTGTTGGCGCGAGAAAGCGGCCACGACGGGTCCGTGTGGACGCCACATACGTCCTCGTCGCGTCAGGACTCGACAGTGTCGTTCTCGACAGGAAAAGTCCCTGGGTACAGCGTCCGCGCAGTCAAAGCCACTGGCCAAGTGGCTTGTTCGGCAGTCCACTTGGCCAACAAACTGAAAGACCCAGTGCGCCTCCGGGAGTACGACATGACGATCTTGAGCAGTCGCGTGGTGGAGGAGGTGGACATGCCGTCCTTCACGACCATCCAATTCTGGCAGGGCGTACCTTTGTTTCCCGCCACCGCGCGCGAGTTCTGCGTACTCACGGCTGAGCGGCGGCTGCCCCAAGGAGTGATTGTGCTGGCCGCCCGATCGATCGAGCATCCTGCAGTGCCGCCCAACGCCGCCTACGTCCGGGGCGAAATGCATATTACTGGCTTTATCCTGCGACCAATTAGTGCGTCTACATGTACAGTCACTGCCCTGCGCCATGTGAACCTCCATGGGGCCGCCGCGCCGCTCGTCCGTCGGAAAGCAGAAGATATGGCCGCTGTAGTGCAACATCTGCAGCGATTGTATGGCACGTCAAGTCACGTTCCAGACACCACCCTCGTCGTTGCTGCGCCACTTCGAGACAAACACGACGTGGCAGCGCCGGAGAGCTCCACCCCCACATCAATCTGCACAACCTGCAGTAAAGACGTCGAGCATGGCTACAGCCGCCATCGGTGTGTGGTCTGCCATCGGATATTCTGCGGGGACTGCGCAAGGCACGCCGTCAAGACCAAACAATGGCAAGTCTTACGCATGTGCAATCTGTGTGCGTCGGAAAGCCGAGAGAACTGCGCCACCGATGAAAGGGATGGCAGGGCGACGACTGCTAAGCCCGTCGAAGACCATGAAGCTGTAACATCGCTATCGAGGAATGTATCACCTGCGACAGTGCTTGTCGTGGGCGCCGCCGCCACGCTTGTGATTTGGATGGAATGGCGAGGCCAGATCTTTGCGCTGGTGGTGGTCCTAACCATGTGTGTGATGTTGTCGCACCCTATCGTTATAGCTACACGCCAACACATCCATGTCAAACACTTGTAGTACTAGTCGACCTCCAAAGTGCAGCATTGCTCGCGGTCTGGCTAGTAGTACCATAACTAACTATATATACTAATACTACTACATTTTGAACCGACTCAAACCCGGCGCTCAGTGTCGTCGCCGAGTTCACATAACTAACTCGATACGTTTCATCATTTGATCAACCAATCAACTGGTAGAATTTCGGCCGGAGAATCACCTTGTCGGGAAAGATGTCTCTTAGAGTAACGTAGAACAACGTGTCGTCACCGCGGCACCACGTGCACTGCCACCGGTGGACGGCGTGGGTGTTGTTGGTGTACCGCCCTTTGGGAAACTGCTTGAGCGACGCGCATGCTTCCTGGACGATGGGCAGTTGCAGCTCCAAGTCGGTGGCGTTTTCACATCGGCGGTTGAGATTGTCAAAGTTCCAGTACGCGACTTCGGGGTAAAAGTACTCTTCGTCTAGCAGCGTGATGCTTCGGCTTGGCGGCGGTTGGTGGCTCGAGTACTTCTGCACGGAGCGATGTACCATGCGCGGGCCAGTGAGGGACACGGGGTCGCGGTTGTCGCCGCCGCCTTCAAATGTGGCCAAGATGTTGTCTAGCACTTCCAGCCAGAACGGATGGCCAGGAATGGACGCCAAGATGGCATTGCACAGCACGGGTGACGTGGCGCCTTCAAGGAGCACGGAATGCACCAGCGGCTCAAAGCTGAGAAACAAATCCATGTGCATGAGGTCATCGAATGGTTTGAGCGATTCAAAGTCGCCGTCCGCGTACACGCCGCCGTAATGATGCAGCAGCGCGTACCGAGTCATGTCGGCCAAGTGAATTTTGCCCACTTGGCGCGCCACCGACGCGTACTTGGGGTAGTGGGTTTCGAACAGGTTAAGGTTGTCGGCGTCGTCCCAAAACATGTAGCTCCACGTCGGGTTGTGGACGCGCCAGCTTTGCATCCATGGCGTAAACTTGCTTGGGATGTGGTTGGCCGTCTTCCACGACTGATGGATTAGCTTGGGTATCGTGCCGTTCGATTGTGAAGATACGAAGACATGTGTCTCGTTCGCCGCGAGGCGCACACCGATGGATTCTGACGACGGAAGCTCGCGGAACACGGACCCAAAGTGACCCAGCACACTAAGCCACATGACGACGCACGTGCCGATCCCGAGCACCGCCACCGCATACACGCGTCGAAGCCATACACGCGAACTGCATGCGATGGAGGAGGACGCGGGGAGGGGGGCCGGCTTGAGTGTCGTCATCTTGGCTTAGCCTCGGCGCGGCGAACGTGATGGATTTTGGATGATTGGCTTTGCTTCCCAGGACGTTCAGGATTTGGTTTTTTCCAGTGACAATGTGTGACAGTCACGTCCGGTCTTATCCGGATTTCCCTACAGGATACAGTCCGAAACAATCCCCCAAAATGGCAGAGTTATTAGCGTTCTATCCAATACTAGTACAATACAATACAATACCAATGCCAACAACCTTGGCATGGCGACTAAGGACACTTCACAAGAGGATTGGGGTCGTCCACTACGTGTTCATCACAAGAAAAATCCAAAATTCGAACATTTTGGTGAATCAAAACTATAGGCGCACTTTGTGATTCGACCATAAACTACTATTTTCAACCAATCCACAAGCTAAAAGCATTCAAATTGCACCTAGTGTCTTATTTATATGCGATCTCGAGACTCAGAACCAGAGCAACATTTTTCGTATTTCGTGAATTTAGACAGCTAATCGCTGCAGTTTGTGTTATGTACTTTATCGTTGAATATTGCTGAAATCTGTCTTGAACACATTCATTTGCGTGTTGCGAGCTAAAAACCTCGATCTACCTCATGTCGAATCAGCTTGACGCGCCTTCCAGTTGGTTGTGATGTCGGTCGGTGACTGCTGGAGCTTTGCTACCCATGCCTGTATGAGACCATAGCTACATCCTAGGGCGTTTGCAATCCAATGAAACGATTATTTACTTCCAAAGATGATTCAGTTTGACTTTTGCGTTGTCGCTGATGTATTTGCAGAATAGCATGATCAAATTATTGGTTCTGAGTCTCGAGATCTCTCATAACGTTAAATAAGACACACAGATTGTACTTGGGTGTAGTTAGTTGAGTGCTTTTAGCTCGTGGATTGGCTGAAAATAGTAGTTTATGGTCGAATCACAAAGTGCACCTATAGTTTTGATTCACCAAAATGTTCGAATTTTGGATTTTTCTCGTGATGAACACGTAGTGGATGACCCCAATCCTCTTGTGAAGTGTCCTTAGTCGCCATGCCAAGGTTGTTGGCATTGATTGTATTGTATTGGATAGAGCGAATAGTCATCGTGAACTCCAAAATTATGGATGACTGTATTATTCGCTGATAACGTTAGCGCTATATAGGGATAATTGCTGTAGTTGATTGACGGGGAGAGTACGTAGGCAAGTCATCCGCGGTGCAGAGTTATCATCGACGCAGCCGATCGTACTCTAGGTCACCTTCACTTCGACGCTATGTTCAGAATTCTGCATGGACGAAGCTACTACACCTGCTGAAGGCTAAATTATACAGTACAGTATGTACTGTACGTACTGGCAACGTTAATAACGTTAAGCTTATGCCAATTCACTGTCAGCAAGTTCACGGCAACTACGGTATTCAAAATTGGTCATATAAATACAGTTCGTACTCGTTAGTGTCAACACGACCTCACTAACGTTAGGACATTAATCACGGCCTGCGAATATCTTGATTGGGAAAGATATCTTGCAGCGACACATACGATGCCGTGTCGTCACCGCGGCACCACGTGCATTGCCAGTGGTGGACGGCGTGGGTATTGTTTGTGTACCGTCCGTTGGGGAACTCACTCAACCACGCGCAGGCTTGTTGGACACTCTGCGATTGGTTTTGAGTGCACTTGCGGCGGAGGTTGTCCATGTTCCAGTAAGCCACTTCAGGGTAAAAGTACTCTTCGTCCAGCAGCACAATGCCATACTGATTCCAGTTAGCACCTGCTCGATCATGGTTGGTCATTGTATGTTGCACCATCCTTGGGCCTGTCAACGACACTGGATCTTGGTGGTTGCCACCGTCAAATGTGGCCAAGATGTTGTCTAGCACTTCCAGCCAGAACGGATGGCCTGGAATGGACGCCAAGATGGCATTGCACAGCACGGGTGACGTGGCGCCTTCAAGGAGCACGGAATGCACCAGCGGCTCAAAGCTGAGAAACAAATCCATGTGCATGAGGTCATCGAATGGTTTGAGCGATTCAAAGTCGCCGTCCGCGTACACGCCGCCGTAATGATGCAGCAGCGCGTACCGAGTCATGTCGGCCAAGTGAATTTTGCCCACTTGGCGCGCCACCGACGCGTACTTGGGGTAGTGGGTTTCGAACAGGTTAAGGTTGTCGGCGTCGTCCCAAAACATGTAGCTCCACGTCGGGTTGTGGACGCGCCAGCTTTGCATCCATGGCGTAAACTTGCTTGGGATGTGGTTGGCCGTCTTCCACGACTGATGGATTAGCTTGGGTATCGTGCCGTTCGATTGTGAAGATACGAAGACATGTGTCTCGTTCGCCGCGAGGCGCACACCGATGGATTCTGACGACGGAAGCTCGCGGAACACGGACCCAAAGTGACCCAGCACACTAAGCCACATGACGACGCACGTGCCGATCCCGAGCACCGCCACCGCATACACGCGTCGAAGCCATACACGCGAACTGCATGCGATGGAGGAGGACGCGGGGAGGGGGGCCGGCTTGAGTGTCGTCATCTTGGCTTAGCCTCGGCGCGGCGAACGTGATGGATTTTGGATGATTGGCTTTGCTTCCCAGGACGTTCAGGATTTGGTTTTTTCCAGTGAGAATGGACGCCAAGATGGCATTGCACAGCACGGGTGACGTGGCGCCTTCAAGGAGCACGGAATGCACCAGCGGCTCAAAGCTGAGAAACAAATCCATGTGTACGAGGTCGTCGAATGGTTTGAGCGATTCAAAGTCGCCGTCCGCGTACACGCCGCCGTAATGATGCAGCAGCGCGTACCGAGTCATGTCGGCCAAGTGAATTTTGCCCACTTGGCGCGCCACCGACGCGTACTTGGGGTAGTGGGTTTCGAACAGGTTAAGGTTGTCGGCGTCGTCCCAAAACATGTAGCTCCACGACGGGTGGTAGTGCCGCCAGCTTTGCATCCACGGCACGAATTTGCTTGGAATGAGATCGGCAGATTTCCAGGATTGATGAATGATCTTGGGAATCTCAGATGAGGACGACTCAAACTTGTGCGGTGCTTTTGCTGGGGGCGGTACAACGGGGCCTGAGTCGGCTAGCCCAAGTTCGTTGCGGGTTTTGGATGTGGCATTCGCAGAGTGCTGTTGTGTGGCGTTCAAGTCCACTTCGTTGGCACTAGGTACGACACTTGCTTGATGGACGCCGTTGGAAGTAGGAAACGCCGTTGTGTCGATTGCATCATACTTGGACGAATCAACGCTTGATCGGAAGATTCTCGATGTCGTCAATGGAGTAACCGCATCGTCCTCTGAAGCCGAGCCATTGGCTACAGATACTACGGGTGATAGCAACAAAGGGCGAGGGACTGTTGGCTGAAGTTGATGTGTGGTGAGCTCAAATCGGCACAGACGAACCAGCCACACCGTCGAGTAGCACGCGATACCAAGGACAACCAAAGCGCGCTGACGAGTCCACCCGACAGAAAGATTGGCGGAGGTCACCACTGGCTTTCGCTTGGCCTTTCGCTGGAGCATTCGAATTTAGGACTACGTTACATCTTAGTCCTACTCGTAATAACTATTCATAGATCGTCATCTCGTCATGAAAAGCGACGACTTCGCGCACGTCCCACAGTGCATCAGCTGATATACCTGGTTGAAATATAGTGACCCCATTGATTGGCACTGTAACGTTAACCTAGCCATTGAACTTTCAAATGTGTAGCCAGCCTCGTGAATGGTGTCCAACTTGGCTCGCGATGTTAAATTGGGGAACTGCCAAAACCACAGCAAAATAACCTTACTGGAACCCTAATTGAATTAGTAAAAAGTGAAAAAGAGAAGTCCCCGGCGGGACTCGAACCCGCAGTCTCCGCCTTCGGAGGGCGACGCCTTATCCATTAGGCCACGGGGACTTCATACATATTAGCAATGTTATTTGCTTGGATACATATGTCAGTGAATGGAAACGCCGTTTTTTTGAGTGAATTGGGCATCGTGGGAGCAAGAGGTACAGTATTAAAAGGTTTTGGCAAACTATTCCCTTGTCTTTGATGTCGCATGGAATGCGTACTTACTGTTAGAGTAACGTTACGCAATATCCTCGACAGTTGAAAGTTTTTTCGCCCAGAGCACACTATTCAGTTTAAAAGTTACGTTATGGAACATAGACTAAAATACGTATACTTCTTGGACTTTGTTCATGCCTCAACGAACGCTGGTGATGTACTGTACAGTATAGCAGTTGATATGTTCTACAATACGCCACAAAACCATGCAATATACACATTTCATTGGAGCGTAACAGCTAAGGAGTTAGTTTTAATGAGTGACCGCGTGCCAAATGTGAGGGTACACCGCCAAATGCTCGGCACATGGCCAAAACCTTTGTTTGCCCGAACCTTTTGTCCCGCGAAGTTTTTACCAGCATAACATCATAAATGATTAGTGGCAAAACACGTCATGATAGAATATGAAGTCCCCGTGGCCTAATGGATAAGGCGTCGCCCTCCGAAGGCGGAGACTGCGGGTTCGAGTCCCGCCGGGGACTTCTCTTTTTCGTCTTTTTACTACCCGATAACATATTAATAACATCAAAACAACAAACCTCTGGTATTTTATACTTGCTTTGACCACCCAGCCATTCGCACCAAGTCGACAGACACCATGCTCCGTCGACACTTGTTGGCGTCTTCGACGGCTATTTCCAGTCGGAGCTTTAGTAAAAAGGCAGCGCGAAGAGCCGCCGCCGTCGCTACACCTGCTGCTGCCAATAGCAGTGAGTTCAAAGTGACTCCGGCAGCAGTCGCGGCGGAAGCCAAGGAAGTGTTCAAGATGATGTTTGGGGTACGTATGTACATACACACGTTATTGCGGCCATGGCCAGTTGGCCTACCCTTTCTGTAGACGTTTACGATCCTGCTTGGCAGTGGCTTGGGCATTGGGTACGCTGTCGAGAACTACAAGCGGATGCATCCACCGACGCCACCTGGTCAGTTGTTGGAGATCACGGTGAACGGCCAGCGCTCGGTTGTCCACGCGCAAGTGCGCGGAGGTCGTCAAGGAACAACCTCAAAGGGCACGGTGTTGCTGGACGGAAGTCTGGGCGAAACGTCGTTTGACTGGGACAAAGTCATTGCAGCTGTACGTACAGTCAGCATGACCCGTCCGTCCGCTGTCGTTATGATGATGGTTCTAGTTGCCAGAAGACACGGCAGTCGTCGCCATCGACCGCCCTGGTCTGGCTTTCTCGACGCCGAGCCCTTTGCCTCGCACCTCTGAGACGGTTGGTTATCCAAGTGCACATGACGAAAATCGGTTCGAAACCTCATCCTATAAAAAATGTAGATATCCAAGGAGTACCAGCAGGTCTTAAGCCAGCTTAATGTGACTGGACCGTTGGTGCTGGTGGGTCATGGCACTGGTGGCTACCATATGCGGTACGTTCTGTTTGTGTTCGTCATGGGCCTCCAACTAACTGTTAACACCAGCTTAAGACTTATCAACTAATGTGCGCGTAGCCAACTCGCCGCAGACTTGGCGCCGACAGGGGGAAACGTGACGGTGGCGGGGCTCGTCTTACTCGATGCCATGCATGGTAACGAACTTCTTCTACTACTACTCCTTAATAGTAACATTTTCAATCACTTAGTTGGTTATATTACGATTTTCTAAGCGACTAACTAATCGATTCGGGGGGGGGGGGTATTGTAGAATCCGTAACCCCAGCCCTGGACCGCATCTCGCCCCACGTGCACGAAGCGTTGGCATCACGACGACAAAATGCGGCGACTTTGTTAAAGTACAATATACTCGTTTTTCCCACTATATTTAAAGGATTTTTCATTTACTTTTATTGTGTGTAGAATGTCCCATGTGGGTGTGGTGCGGCTCGTGCACACGGTGCAAGCCAAGCGCAATGCCGAGCGATTTTCTGCGACATCGTTGCCGTACGTCGACTACTTTACGCCGAGTCCGCCCCATCGACGAGGTAGGTACCACCAAAGCCTATCTATCACTCGTTCCTATATGACAATAAAGTTACAAATAGTGTTATTGTGCGTTCGAGTGAAATTTCGTGTTGTGGTTTCTCGTTGGAATTTAAATATCGATTTGATTGGCTACTTCAGATGAGCTCAAAATTATTAGCCAATCAAAAACCTTCTCAATGAAATTCAACAACCAATCCGATCGATTGGATTCAATTGCACCCCTCCCAAATTTGTATCAAATCGACAATATTTAGTATCTATTGTATATACGAAATTCAATATGGACCGGTGTTGCGTAGGCATTGTGCATGAAAACGAAGGTGTTGACGTGATTGAAACCAACTTGACGACATCTCCGCTGCCCCGGCTCTCGGTGCCCGTGGTCGTGCTCTCGCACGGCAACCACACCATGTTTATGTCGATGAAGATGGAGCCAGGCATCACAAACGACGTGGTGGAGCAGATGGAGACGCAGTGGGCCGCGGGACAAGCCGCCCTCGCCGAGCTCAGTGCTACCTCCGTCCACCGGATTCTGCGGGACGCCGGCCACGACATCGCGCACGACAAGCCGGACGTTGTCGCCAAAGCCATCTTGGCCGTGCTGCATGAAAGCCGCGGCGATGCCGACGCGGGCCTCCGATCGCTGGACGACACTGTATAGATAGATGCAATATATACAGTATAGTAGCTAGCATGCACCACACATTGGAGTGAGAGTAAACCCCATTCAAAACTCTTGTGTACGATGTACACCAGTCTAGCTAGTATATGAACCAACTACGACCATGACCAGTAGGTAGTAAGTACTACAGTTTACTAGTAGTAGTAGTACTACGTAGTAGTACTGTATCTATTGGTGCTGCCTACTACTAGTACAAGAAGACAGACCCAGCCATGATCGATCGTCGTACATATATACAGTAAGTATCCCACCACAAACAGTCGTTACAGTACATCATATTCCATGGACTATTCAATATACTCTCTCTTTTCTTTCAAAGCACGCCCCCAGCAGTGTCACACATACAAGTCTGTCGCCGTCTACTCGAGCCATTGTCGCAGGCGCGGGGCGTCGCGAGTGGCCACGGCGTGCTTGATGCGGATGCTCTCTAGGGTTTCCTCCACCGACCGACTGTACGCGGCGTGCTGACGTGGCAGCAGGAACGTCTCGACGTCTGTGGCGTCGGTGTCCGTCTTGAGCGCCCGGATCGACGCGTTCAGAATCCGACCCACAACGCGGGGATTCGGGTACTGGGCGTTGAGTGAGTCCCAGTTGGCCTGGACATATGCCCACGCGACGGACGCGCCGGCGGCGGTGGCGGCAACCCCCGCGAACGGCATCGAGATATCCTGGGGGCGCACGTTCTGGAGCCCCCACTCGAGCACGCGCTGCTTGACAAGTGGCTGCGGAAATAGACCCATCGCGTACACGATTTCGAGCTTGACGTCGGGCTCGGTCGAACTTGCATGGTACAGCTGCGTTAAATGCGCAAACGCTAGCTCTGGCTCGGACGTGGTTGTGATGTGGAGGCGGAAGACGTCGGCGCGGAAGTCCGAAGGCAGCACAGTGTTTTGATGCATCGATTGCTGGAATCGCCGCGTGGCTTCGGCGATGACGGCGTCGTCGTTGGCCCGGCCCAGCATCCCAATCACTTGGCGGCGCAACTGCTTGGTCAAGTCCGAGTCGCTACATATGTGGATCATGTGACTATATATATATATATATATATTATATATATACATAGTTGTGTTTAAACTGGAGCAACATGGAGATAAATTGACTCGGCACAACCAACGAATAATGTGCAGAGGAATCGGCAGAAGTATTCAGCCAATCAAATTGCAGGAAACAACAATCGTCCGAATCTGGCAGCAATATTAGCCAATCAAATTGCAGGGAAAACCAATCATCCGAGTCTAATTCGTGTGACGCCTAAAGTAGTGTGATTATAATCACCACCAGCCAACTTTTTACATACCAAAATTCACAAAGAATCGATCGATCGATAGATTTGGCAAATTAGCCCAAAAGGCCAACTTTTGAGTAAAAGGACAATATATATATATATATATATCTGAAGTCAAGGGCATCGTGACAGAATTTTATATGGTTTCCACTTATGAGCAATCCAAAGCTCTGTTTGAAATATTCAAATGTCAACCCCACGACGTTCACAACTTGAAATGTCCAAAAGTACATGGACACAATGGTTCAATCATTGTCCATAATGGAACGTGCAGTTATAATATATTTACGAAATCCAACAACTTTTAGCAAAATATTTACATCATAGACTTCCTGCGACACGTTTAGATTCCATAAATTATAGTAAAAACCACACATTTCGAAACCCTTTGTGATTATACCCCACAAAAGTACACGTATGACATTAATAGTACGTACGTTGCAAGGTGGGTCCACGTGAGGCGGGCCATGATCGGCGCGTACAGACGACGAATGTACGCTTGAAACGACGGGAACCACACTTGGTCGTCAAAGAGGGCGACAATCTGAACCAAGTTGTCCGACAACTCCTTCCACACCAAGTACTCAGTGTCCAGGGCATACGCTTGGGCAAACTCGAGGGCGTCGACGATGCTCACATGGCCGGCTCGAGATAGGAAGAACAGTGCCTGCAGCAGGGCCACACGATCCACCACGTCCAGCTCTTGGGTGGACACGGGACCTTTCAGTGCCTTCCAGAGCTCGGACGAGTAATTCACCAAGTAAAACCCTTGCTGCAATGCGTTGACCTTGACCCACGAGTCTATATATGAGCCAAACATGGTGGTATGAGTACTCGTTATTCATAGTAGTACTAGTAGTATTCATAGTACGGGCAACAACCCCCATATATACTATAATCAAAAGAATAATAATATTTAACACAATTTATATAAAAAAGTGATGTTTAGTAGTACAAAACAAATCATGTTTATTAGAAAAAATATAGACCATGTTTATTCAAAAACAAAACAGGTCGGAAGAAACACCATACTATATATAGCATATAGTGTATGGAACCCAAGCCTCTCGGTGATATTGTACAATGTATTAATGTATTGCTTTAGATAATATATATATATATATATGTTATAACAATTTATATAAAAAAGTGATGTTTAGTAGTACAAAACAAATCATGTTTATTAGAAAAAAAATATCATGTTTATTAAAAAACAAAACAGTTCGGAAGAAACACATACTATATATAGTTTTGGAACCCAAGCCTTTCGGTGATATTGTACTGTACAATGTACTAACTAATGTATTGGTTTAGATAATATATATATATATATGTTATAACAATTTATATAAAAAAGTGATGTTTAGTAGTACAAAACAAATCATGTTTATTAGAAAAAAAATATCATGTTTATTCAAAAACAAAACAGGTCGGAAGAAACACCATACTATATATAGCATATAGTGTATGGAACCCAAGCCTCTCGGTGATATTGTACAATGTATTAATGTATTGCTTTAGATAATATATATATATATATGTTATAACAATTTATATAAAAAAGTGATGTTTAGTAGTACAAAACAAATCATGTTTATTAGAAAAAATATAGACCATGTTTATTCAAAAACAAAACAGGTCGGAAGAAACACCATACTATATATAGCATATAGTGTATGGAACCCAAGCCTCTCGGTGATATTGTACAATGTATTAATGTATTGCTTTAGATAATATATATATATATATGTTATAACAATTTATATAAAAAAGTGATGTTTAGTAGTACAAAACAAATCATGTTTATTAGAAAAAAAATATCATGTTTATTAAAAAACAAAACAGTTCGGAAGAAACACATACTATATATAGTTTTGGAACCCAAGCCTTTCGGTGATATTGTACTGTACAATGTACTAACTAATGTATTGGTTTAGATAATATATATATAAATATGTTACCGGAAGAGGATGGAATCGCGAGCTCCCACTCAGCGCAATGACCTGGCCAAATACCTGCCGACTGCGCCCCCCGCGAAGTCGACGTGACGTACGTCAGAGGCACATCCCACACGGTTTTGTTCGGTCCAGAGTCGCGGGTGCCGTCGGCGAAGAACCGCGATTGAGTCAGTTGGTAGCTTCCATTGGCTGCTTTGGTCACATTCACAACGGGAAACCCCGTTTGAGTTGTCCATGTGTGCGCCATAGATGTGAGCTCGAGGCCTACATATATCCAAACAAGGTGAATACATCTTGTCAAGAAATCCATAATCTATATATATATATACTAGTAGGAAGTGTATAATAGTAATAATAACATGTCTTCGAGGTCCAACATAATAACCTAGTACTTTTCATCGAAGTACTACTACGTACTAGTAGTAGTCTGTAATATCAATAAAGTCAAACATAACATATACTACTAGCTAGTACTTTGAAGTACACATGATAACAATGATTGCATAAACATACATATATAAAAACAATACAAATATATCAACAAAGTCATTCATAACATAAAAATATATGGGAACAATATATTGTAATATAGTCAAATGTAACATACATATATATATATATAACAACAATACATCAACAAAGTCAAACATAAATTAATTTTAATAATGGTATATAATGATATTTCTATGATGGCAAGCAACAACAAAAATAAATAGATACATGTCCTTCAACGAAAACATATAATTCGAAAAGAACTTACCACCGCACACATCCATACATATATATATATATATATATATATAAATAAATACCTATCGTCGAGGGCAATATATATATATATCTAGTAAGTACCTGACGCTGCTTCCAACGCGTGCCACAAGTCGATTGTCTTGGCGTTGCCATAGGCAAATTTCACCAAGTAATTGTGCATGCCAATGTAAAACTTGTCATTGCCGACGAAATTCGCCAACATGCGAATCACGGCGGCGCCCTTGCGGTATGCAATCACATCAAACACTTGGTCGATTTCATCCGGATGGTGCACCACCACTTCAATCGGATGCGACGACGCCATCGCGTCCTTCGTGAGGGCCAGCGGGTCTTGTACAAAGTTGGCCCATACATTCCACTGCGGGAAGATGTCATGCATCGCTTCGTGCTCCATAAAGCGCGCAAACCCTTCGTTTAGCCACAGCTCGGTCCACCACTCCATCGTCACCAAGTTGCCAAACCTAGGATGATATATATTGTCACCAGATTTATATTGTCACCAGTTTTTGGCCACAAAAGATGAGTAATATACCACTGATGCGCCAGTTCGTGGCACACAGTGTGCGCCGTGCCAAGCTTGTGCGCAAAGCTGCTGGTCGCTTCGTCCGCCAGCAGAATACTCTCGCGGTACGTAACTATACCCCAGTTCTCCATAGCCCCTACATCCCCATATTATTATATACAGAGTAGATAGATTCTATATTCATGACTACATAGTCTATATTGTGAATTCGCTATAAACTTGTGAAACTCGCGAGGGTTTGTACTCAATATTGAATCACGCTGGAACCTCTGATTGGTTGAATATACTTGTCCTTGTTTCTATATGAGCCAATCCAATCACACTCCAAATTGCATTAGCCAATAGTAGCGTCGATTCGTGATTCGGGGTCTGGAAATTTGTGCTACCAAATCCACAATAACACAAAACACTCATATATTACAGTCCATGTAGATGGCGCAAAAAAAATTGCAAAAAATAATATCAAATTGTTTTGGCCCGTTGTCAGCTAGCTGTACAAAAAATAGTCTTTGACAAAGTGGTAAAAAATATATATTCCAAACAATTTTTTTCTACAAATGACAAAAGACTGGTGGTAATACATATATATATATACTAGTACATATATATCTAATACAACCAGTAATATTTTTGTCGACTAAAAACATGATTTTAGAAATTGTGCTTTTCAGCCAAATTAGCTTGTTTTGGGGGATTAATGAAATCGCCAACTAATCCAGCAAAGGAGTATGATTGGCTATAAAGAATGAAGGTTGCAATGTGATTGGCTAAAAAGATTTGATTAATGCGTCCCAAAGATACCTCTTCAACTCAGTTTTATATAACATTTCGAAGGTCTGGCGATTGTTGGGCGGTTGATTCAACCAATCGCCAGAGGAAATTATGAGTAGAACACACACAATACCTGCGTTAAAGTCTGGAATCGCGAGCATGTCGAGCTTGGCCAACGGGTACGGGATGCCAAACTTGTGGGTGAAGAAGCTCAGGCATTGCGTGGCCACTTTGAGCGCAAACTGGCCGCGCTCGGACCGGCCCACGGGCGTGTACACACGGACAACCACGCCTTCGTTGGTGAAGCCCGACACAAAGTCGAACTCGCCCACGACCATCGCCAGCAAGTACGTGCTCATGACGGGGGTCTCGTCGAACTGCCACCGCTTCTCGAGCTGCTTGGGGTTGGTCTTGGACGGGCGGACGAGGGTAGACAGCACGGGCGTGTTGGAGATGGCTTCGCGGTTTACGGGGGTCACCTGCTCACGACAGTGAGAACAGGAGTGAGAATGGGTCGGATATATACCATCGACAGCTGGAACGACGCCTTGATCGCAGGTTCGTCCCAGCACACGAGGGCGCGGCGCGCGTCGCACGCTTCGAACTGCGTCACGGCCATCGTGCGGCTCTCGCCGTCCTGCGTGTACTGGCTGCGGTAGAACCCCTTGAGCTTGTCGTTGAGGATGCCGTGGAACGAAAGCGACAGCGTCGCCTTGGACCCCGCGGGGATCGTCGACGGAAACACAAACGTGACCGACTCGTCCTTGGAGATGTACCGGATTTCATCGGCCTCGACCGGCGCCGCGTCTTGACCGTGGACTGACAACGTGACCGAGTGCACCCACAGCTCCACGGCGTGACACGTGATGGTCGACGTGGCTTCCACGATGTCCACTTCCACGCGCTCCGTGCCTTCGAAGCGGAACCGGTCAAGGTCAATCACGTCGTAGTCCACCGTATACTAGACGAAGAAGGTTAAAGAGACTGAGAGATGGTACGTAGGTACCTTGATGGGCTTGACGTTCGACGGCAGACGCGCAAACTGCGGCTGGTCTTGCTTCCCTTTGACACACATGTAGCTAGCTGATCACTAAATGGAAAATGACAACATCATCAAGAAAGGCTACTCCGGATCAGTT